TGAGAAAACACAATAGCGATTCTTGAAAAGATGTACAAAAGTTAATGATGTAGGTCAATATTCTTACTGCTATGAAGCTGAGAATTCAAAAGTTCATATTCCATGGTGAGATGGAAAAAAAAAAAAACAAACAAGAGGAAAAGGGAGACACTTTGGCAGACAAAAGGCTCACTTTTTTTGTCTCTCCCTACAAATGCATGAGACCGAATACTCACCAGTTACAAAATATGTATAGAAATTGTTCAAACTATTAAATGTAAAAATATGAGAGTGAATGACAGACACCACACAAACATCAGCAGCTCCTTTATGATTTCCAGTGGCTAAGGGGACATGTGGACAAATGGGGAAAAAAAAGTCTTTTTAGAAAGAAATCCATGTTGCTACAATTGAGAAAAATACAGCTGTAAAGCCCTACTTTTAGCTTGTTTTAAGAATTAAATTATTAATTTAAGAAATTAAACTCCACTTGCAAACTAATAGCTAGAGCTCCATTTCCACTCACTGCTGTTTCAACCCACACAGCAGCAGTACAGATTTTTGAAGTCTTCCTCAGTGCACACAGTTACTGTAGTAATTCTGAACGTTCACTTCATGGATTGGTTTATGAAATCCTCCCCTCCTGCCTCTCCTCCCTACAATATCCCAGCACAATATCCCAGGTAAAAGTTTAACGACTGCCAGCTGAACAACTGACAGAGATGGATGGTTTTCATGCAAAATCCAGGTAGATCAGATGTGTTAGCATTTAGGAAAATAAATGAGGATAAAGGAGCAAGTCTTAAACCTTTGTATTTCAGAGTTTACTGGCTGACAGCAGCATTACTTTTCTGTCAGTTTTCATTGAAATGTCTCTGTAGGAAAAAACCCCACACAGCACTATCAGGTTATAATTCCATACACACAGTCAGCAGCCTTAAATGCTGACCTTCTTCCTAGCAGATTTATTTTTCTAGAGAGGAGATTTATTTTACTAGAGACTACTTACTATTTTGTTTACGGATTACAAGTAATAATGAACTAACAGCATATTTCATACTGAAAGTACATTATTTATAGGTTTGAAACGTTTGTTTCAACCTCCTCCTTGAACATAAGCTTCTGTAGTATATACGGTGCTCGAACATAGCCAAATTTACTACTTTTAAGGTCACCTTTCTATGGGCAATATTGCAACCTCAGTTTTTTTTTTATTCTGCCAATAGATTCACAACTGCACACAGCAGCAAAGAATTATTCTTCAGTGTCAACACAGACAGAATCATTCCAAAAAGTAATATTAAATAGATTCTTCTTTCTTATGCTGTTCTTCCATTAGAAAACAAAGACAAGTTCCAGTGAATTTGAGGGGGAAACAGGCATATTTACAAACAGTATTACAAGATAAAAGAAACAAAATAATTAAAAAAACCACAAACGACTGGGCAGTCAAATTTCAGCACTAACTCTATGTCAATTTGCTAATTACACAGTCATTTCTCCCTTTGACTATTTACAATAAATTAACTTTATTGTTTTAATTTGACCTCAATAATTAAATAATAACACAATGATAGTTAAAATATAATAAAATAAACCACCAATCGTATAATTTAGAGCTGTCGGTTATTCTTTGTATCATGAAAATAGTTGATGCCCATGATGAATAAAATTCCTTGCTCTTTAGCAACTGAATCAACTTTGTCATGAGGAATTACATATATGCTTGGCATTAAAAAGAAAAACCCACTGCTCAACACCACTCCATTTACTTCATAAATAAATCCTGGTTTAAATGCATTTTTCATTTCTGTATATATGCAATCAAATTCTGGACTCCAAGAAATGTGAACACACAGGGTACTCAGATCACAGAAGTGCCATCAAAAAGAAGCTCTGTCCTACACAGCATAACTCCTAAAAACAAGACCCCGATCATCCAGATGTACCTCCACACCTAAAGTCTTATCAAAAACATATTTTTAAAAAAGCAACAATTAATACTTACCTGAAGTGTGCCTCCCATGGTTCTGTGACATCCTCTGGAAAAGATCACTGTTGTGTTCATAATACCTGTAGTCCTCATGTAAGCGGTCATTTAACTGACGTCTCCTCTGGGCATCATAAAAATGATCATAATAATAACAACGGGCACCAGCATCTCCATTTTCCAAAATAGAATTAGCTTCTGTTAAAAAGGACTGGGAGGAAGAGCCGTATTCTCTGGGGACATCAGCTAAACTTCTTGCCAGATAGGAAGGCGCAGACAGTCTGTTGCTTTCACGTCTCATTATTTCATGAGGTGGCCTCTGCACTGGAGTTCGAAGGAAACTCTGGTTTCTGGAAACAATTCCATCTCCACCAGAAGCATACGCAGTTGTTGTTGAGTCAGGAGGACAGATATCAGTTCGTCTTGGAATGGTTGGACCGTGACGGATGAATGAAGGCATCAGGTCTGATATACAGCATGAAAGAGAAAAAAGAGCTTTGGCTGTACTTACACATAAAGCATTTGGCTGGCCACAATGCTGATTTACACCACGGAACTGAAAAAATACAAACACTAGAAGCCCTTTAAGGCACCTCTAATGCATATGGAAGTACAAAGGTAATTTTCCAGTTTGTACTGGTGCAACAGAAACCATCACACCCTCCACTAGGAACAGCCTATTGCCAAGAGTGCAGTTTTCCCAGTGTAACTGCATTCACCACAGACAGAAAAAAACCCAAATCCCATCAAAAACCACAGAAACACCCCCACAAAAACCACCCCACGCTGTACTGGGGCTCCATACCTCTCTAAGAAAAACCAAGTATCCTGGCTACCACTCTACCACTTCATTGGGACCACTGCCCTTACGAACTCAAGAGTAATGGAAGACGTTCATGCCTGCATGCTCGCAGGAGTCCACGGCAGGATCAGGGACAGAATTCACATTTTCTCCATTAATCACAAAGTTCAGCCAGCAAAATCCTGTCATTCTGTACACATTAAAGTGTCAAGTTATTTTGAAGTTATTTGACTTTTTCCTTTACCTGAAAAGGTTGTGCACATGAACAGTGACACCTACTCACACAATTTCACTGCCTCCCCCTCATAATCAACTCTTATAACAGGGTAAAAATTCAGTGCATCCCAGAAGGTATCATCAGTAAATTTATAATCATTACAAAGCAGTCATGTAATAACTAGTCATTACATCGTGGCAAATACCACGTGTAAAAGGTGTTGACCCCTTAGACACACCTACAGCTTCATACGAAAAAAACTTTGTGGGTTTCATTTTGTATTTTTTAATTAAAGACTAAGTCAGTGTAATCTGACTACTAAATGATTTTGCCTGTTGACAGGGGAAACAGCGGTTCATGCAGCAAATACTTCCAGAAAAGCTGAGTGCCTGCTCCTACCAAATCAGTTGTTGCTAGTTGCGATCTCCAAGCTAATCACAGAATCATCCTGCAATTACAGCATACTACATTTCAGTCTCAGCTTGTTTTCAAAGGTTAACAGGAAGAAACCCCAGCGCACTTTCAACATGTATTTGCCAGTGTTTTGTACAGTCCCATCAAAACCAGGGCTGTGGCATTAGTGTCAGGTCAGCCACACAAAGATCAGTGTCCAAGGTACATAGCGGTGACCTCACCACGTTGATTCATGGTTAAGAACTGGAGTGCTCGCTTCCGCAGGGATTTTATGCAACTGCCTTGTACAGTTATCTCATTTTCAAAGCACACACCTTTTGGCAGCGCACACAGCCTAGACTGGGAAAACAACCACTGACTTCTGGAAAGAAAGAGATGATCTGTGCTGTTCATCTGAGAGATACCTGCTTGGAGACTACCTTAACCCCTGCCCGTTGAAAACTAAGCAACAGTGGCTGAGAAAATAAAAAAAACAACCAAGTTTGTTTATGGTGAGCAGCTGGTGGTACACTATGTGTAAGCCTCCCCCCTTCAACTCAGCCTCCCCCCGTCAGCTCCAAGGTCTCGCAACAACAATCTCCCCCCCCCCTCCCCTCACGAGGAGACCCCCCCCAAAGGCGCGCAGGGCCTCCAGG